TCCATATATTTGTTTTCTTTTTTGCTTTCACAGTTCTATTCGTGAGTGAGTTTTTTGGTGTTGTGTTGGTTTACAAATCGTATATTCTATTTTATGTATACATTCTATTTTATCGAGTATCGAAAGGTTTCAGTAAACAAAACAGGCACAAAAAAATTTGTGAAATAAAGTGATATTCATTTGATGCCTATTTAGACATTTTTCTATTCATTTCAATTGGAAGACAAGGACTGTACGTGAAAAGGGTCCCTATCGCTATCTTTGTCACTGAAACACGGTAGCGCGTCGCGAACACCCACAATGGCCGCGCGCGACACAACGCGACTGAACTGCGCGCCGTCTTCATGACCACCAGAAGTTCACATGCACGGCGTATATCAAAGTGCTCTTATCATTAGAGAACGCTGGGCGCTATCGCATTATATGGGGGCATTGTGATGGCAGTGCATTTGAAACCGCGTAAAACATGTCTTTTTTGTTAAAAACGGGACTAAGCCTTGGACGGGGAGAGGAGACTTCCAAAGTGCGTGTCCGTTTTCACTTTCCCTAGAGCTCCTGCCCACTCCAAGGCTCAGTCTAGGAGGAGATATCCTCGTATACCGCGATAGTGCTGAAAGCTGTACAATGCATGGGGCTCTCGGATACTTCAGACCGCAGACCCTCACAAAATTGTGCTTTTAATTTCAACATGGTATCTATGGGATATTTGTAATAAAGATTTATATCACAGAATTATACCAATTTCAATAGCAGCTAGTATGCGCCACGCATTTTTCGGTCAGCTCCTCGTTGCTTGAACGCATTTTTGTGACGCTCCTTCATTTGGCGTTGTCGACCACCAGTGTAGGAGGAGCCACGCGAAGTGTTCTCTAGAACAGTCGAGTAATAAAAAACGCCTGATCAAGAAGGATCTTTGAATTCTTACCTCCTACACCTGCTCCGGTATCACTAGCATTCTTGGCGTTGTTATTCGAACCACCTAAATACCAATTAGTTATGATCATCTCGGAGATATTCCCAGGTAGAAATGACAGGAGACAATATTCAAAAAACTATTAAGCATTCGGCACCAGTTCTCCTTTTTGAGGATGTGCCACGCAATCTTCCTTGGTCACTTGAATACATTTTGCCCTGTACAACGACTCGCAAGAGCCAGCGATGTACAAGTCAGTGTTTTTATGCTCCCAGACGAGTCTGATACCAATTACCCAACCCACTCGAAGAGCGATCTGTACATTTTACACATAAAACCATCCCAGGATGATCGGTTTCTGAGCGAGAAACAATCGATTCGATCTCTCTCCCCCCCCCCCTCACGAATCATCTCTCTCCCCCCCCCCTCACCGATAATTGCTGTGCTAACGGGTGTCACTTGTCACAGCACTTTTTCGGCCTAGAGGAAAAGAATGGAAATATGAACAAAACACAAGGAGATGTAGAAAGAGTTGCACTCGAAATCAACATTTAAAATTTAACTTTATAGGTGAAAAAATAGGTATTTGAACCTCACATCAGTCGGCTCGAAACTCCTCTAATTTCTCTTACAGCACAGAGACAAGGTTTTGGTAGACTAATAGCTAACTCACCTGCAGAAATATTAGCTGGGTGCGCGGGTAGTATTTCTGTACTGTCGGCCTCCGTCCACCTCCTCTGGGTTTGCCCGCGTCTCCTACTACCGGCTCATCTGTCGATTCCCCTTCACTTTCATCCGATGAAATTTGCGCGCTAAAATTTTAACAGATTATTGCTAGAAATATTTATACCGAAAATGCACATTTAGCACGAAAAAGAGCATGAGTTCACTTCGCTTCCGCGGAGAGACATGTCGTAATTGCAGACGTTGCAACACACATGACATCAGATAACCATCAAAAGCATTAAAGCTCAAGGCACCTCTTTTTCGAGACCGTCGTCACGTGCACCAATTTGCTCGGGACTATGGCCCCTGGATTACCGATCACACAGAATTATGTAACCCAGCCCCGACAGGAAGAATATGAATATAGTGATCAAAATAACTGAATGTCAAAGCCTATATAACCACAGACGGTAAACAAAAAATCAATAACAAAAATAAAGATGTTGAAATATAATTTCGTCAACATCACAGTGTATACTTCTAATCACATGAATGAAAGATATAATGCTCCTACATATTGCAAAAAGCGGACCTTTTGTCACACATCAGGCTGGATCTTTTGTCGCACCAGACGGAACTACTCTTCCACAGCTTACAAAAACTTATCTATAAACAATAACAAATTTGGGGTACTCACTTTAGTGGCTCTACGGTGAACTCCTTCTGTTCATAGCCGTCATCATACTCGTCATCATACACATCGTCTCCGGGGGTCTCATAACGATATTTCTCATATGTCGGCCTGATCGCCACTTTGTCCGCTTCAGACACTTTGAACTTATGGGTACTTATGTATCTAAAACGCAGAGGGT